TCGGTTTCCTCTTGAGACTTGATGATCTTATCATCCATGTATACCCTGAGAATGTCCCTGATCTCACCGCGGAAGACTTTGGTCATCATCTGCTGGTATGATGCGCCCACATTTTTTAGGCCAAAGGGAATTATGTTGTAGTAGTAATTGCCCGACCCGGTCATGAAGACAGTGTAATGTTTGTCGCTCATAACCACATGGATTTGATTACAGCTCAAATACGTGTCCATAAACGAAAAAAATTTATAGTCGGTCGAGTTGTCGACCAGCATCTCAATGTTAGGTAAATGAAATGCATCTTTGGGACATGCCCGGTTGAGATCAGTATAGTCAACACACATACGATATTTTCCATTATTTTTCTTAACAAATACAATGTTAGAGAGCCAGGTTGAATATCGGGCCTCAGAAATATAATTTTCCTCTAGGGGGTCTTTTACAGCTTCTTCAGTGGCCTTTGCTTTCAAGGGAGACTGCATACGCCTACGTTGTACTACTACCATAACGGATGGATCCATAGCAAGTTGGTGACAGGCAACCTCCGGGTCGAGTCCGGGCATCTCCATAGTGCTCCACGCGAACAAATCAGTGTTTTCCCTTAGACATGCTTTGAGCTGCTTCCCCTCTAGGTCGGGGAGTCCAGCACCGATCTTCATGCCTTTACTTTGGTCTTCGCCAAGGGGGATGAACTCAAAGTCTTTGTCGAGGACAGGTCATAGAGCATCCTGTTGGCCACTGGGTTCCTCGATTTCATCTTTAGCAAAGCGGGTGTCGAGGTTAATGGAGTCAACTTTTGGTGGAGCTCGTTGTTCTTCAACTTGTGCAGGTTTGTCTGCCCGAGGGAGCTGCTGTTGTCGAGGAGGTAGTTCTGTTGGCAAATTGTACCCCAATGTCGACCATGTTTTGTCCTTTTGAGGCTGCATTGAAACATATCCTAACAGATTCAATGTCTCTATGGATGGCGGAGATGCGGGCCCTCTTGGTGTAGAACTTCATCTTCAAATGCATCATGGAGGGTATGGTGGTCATCTTGACCAGTGTTGGTAAACCCAGGATGCAATTGTAGAGAGAGGGACAATCGATCACCATAAAATGCACTTTGACTTGTTGGGATGCAGTTTCTTCCCCGAACGTGACGAACTGCTTGATGTAACCCCATGGCTTGGAGGTCGAACCGTTGAACCCTTGCAGGTCGGATCCCACGTATGATGATAGATGAGAATTTTCGAGTTGTAGAGTGCGTAACAAATGTGTGTACATCATGTTGATGGAACTCCCCTCGTTGACCAGGATGTGATGTATATCAAAGTTGGACATACTCGCCCTTACGAGCAGAGGGGTGCTGAAGTTGGGGGCTCTGTCAGGAAACTCCTCGAGATAAAAGGTGATTGGCTCAGATTTTCCGTTGAAATTTTCAAGAGTTATAGCCTGGACCGGGGCTGCATCTATCAGCTCATTGAATTTCCTCTTTGCTGAATTCACCGAGATGTCACTGAATCCCCCGCCAGATATGACCATGGCAGATGGGAACTTCTCCCATCTACTAAGGGTAGAAAAGGGCCCATCGCCTTCGAGGCCATCGGGGATGCGGAAGTCCGCGGGCCTGGAGATGTAGAATGCGACCTGGTGGGGGGCAGATTCAATGGTCGGTTGTGCATCCTCTTAAATTTCTTTCACCTTGCAGTATCCAAATAAGGGGCATCGTTCTTCTTGTATTTCTCGAGTCTCCCTGCCTTGATGAGAGTCTCGATGGAATCTTTCAAGTGGACGCAGTCTTAGGTTAGGGGTGATCATGGCTCTAATGGTATTGACAATAGTTTGTCTCGTCAGCCCCATGCTTAGAAGGAGTTGGTCAAGGGAGCCTGACCCCGCCATCTTTGAATTCAACATTGGAGCACTTCGAAAGGATACGCTCGCGAGAAAGCGGTCAACAGGGTGTATTTAGTGAATTGCCCAACTGACCCTCTGTGCTCGCGGGAGTCGCGAGACTTATCTTCCCTTATCTTATCCTCCGTTCATCAAGAAAAGTCTGCATCATTATGCCGTGGGATATCGATATGTCTGTGGTTCCTCGAGTCATAGGCGTTGCTGGCTGTCTCCTTTTTCCTCGTAGGTCATGTAGGTACAGGCTTTGGCGAGGAGTACCTCAAAAGACTTGGGAGGTTCGATGCCAACTTCCTTTCTGAATTCAGTTCCTGGGAAGAGTCCCCTCTCGAGAAGGTACCTCTTTCTGCGATCGATGCAGAGGACTTGAATTGCCTCGCGGTTGAACCGATCGATGTACTCCCTGAGAGTCTCGTCACTCCTCTAGATGATTTCCTCGAGGGAGGCCTCAGTTTTAGGGTGTCGATGGGACACTGTGAAGCTGCTGGCGAATTGGTTCTTCAGACTTTTCCACGAGGTGATCGTCCTGGGGGGAGGCTTTTATACCAGTATATGGCTGTTCTCCTCAGTCTCGTAGGGAACAACCTGCACTTGATAGGACCCCTGACGTTGTGATAATGAAGCATCGCCTCGAAGCCGTCGAGGTGGTCGACATGGTCTGTAATGCCATCATACTCCTTCATAGGGAAGGCTTCTCCATCCCTTTAGAAATATGGGCGTCCATAATGGCCTAAGAGAATGGACCGCGGGGGTCGTCTTCGGTGCTCTATTCCGGGGGGCGAGAAGAAGATTGGTTATAGCGGAGGTCTTTGTGTAGGTCTTGGGCACGGGGATGGTTTTATGACCAAGTCTTCTTTTCTTTGTCGCCCATGTTCCTTTTACGTTTAGGGGATCGTCCTTCCTTATGCGGGGGAGTGTGACTGCGCTTCTTGACAACTTCGGGCTGAGTCCTCTCCAATGCAGGGCCTCATCCAGTGCGGTAGGTAGAAGGGCTTTGAGAATTTTCTCATATGTGTCTTTGCAGGGGAGATCAGGAGCGTACCTCATGTTGTCGGGGAGAAAGAGTTCTTGAGTCGGGTCTTCGGTGCTTTTTGGGTACCAGAGGATCTGTTCCAGCACCATTGGGTGAACTATGCGTGAAGATCATATAATTTGTTTTGTTAATTTCCGCGAACAAGGCCTTGGTTGTAGGATCAACATTCTCAGGAACGGGGATCTCCTGATACACATCAAGCTCGTAGTTTTACCGGGGAGGGTCAGTATTGTCGCATGGTTGTGAGTGGGTGGAAGAGGACGCGGTCAGCCCATCCCTGATGTCGAGCTTGTGATTGCAAACATCGTTGTTGTTTCCAGGGTCAGCAAGATTAACATTTTGGTCATTGTTGTTGACTTGGTCGGCCATGACTATCGGAAAGTTGAGAGTGTTGCTTTGGTCTTAGGTAAATGAAAGATGAGGAAGCTAGTTTCCTACAGACGGCGCCACTAATTGTACCTGATCAGAAGGAATCATCACTGGCCCACGGGCTTGAGTTGAGCGACAGTTATTGAGTGAAGGGGGTGTACCTGCAAGATACTCCGATGCCAAAGTAAGAATGAGAGCAATCAGAGTTCAAGTACAATAGTGAGAAAGAATGAATGAATCAATACCTAGCCTTCTCAAGTGAGAGGGTATTTATAGTCCTCAGTACTGGGCCAAGGTTCCCATGGTGAGCTGACTAAGCAGACCTAAAATGGAGACGGTCAAGTCCTACGTGTGTAGTGGAGACCCGCACAATATCTCCATCCTGAGTGGATTGCTTCGAACTATCAGGAGGACGTGGATGCGACCATTTTAGGGTCAAGAGGACCCCATGATATTTAGAGGCGTTAGATGCCTGGCCTACGAGAAGGGTACTCGCGAGGACCTCATGAGTGTCGTTGATCCTCCTCGGTAGGTATGATACAGGTTATGTCCTCAGGGGATATATCCTCGACGAGAGGAACAGAATCACTGCCCGACATGATCAAAAGCAGACTCACTCCTGCTGGTCTTCTCCAGTAGTACAGTTGGATTGAGCCTTGTATGTTGTTTGGGCCAAGTGCAGGTCCAGTCCAGATTACCAATAAAAAGATTTCATCGGCCAAATCTCAAATCTTGTTTATCATTATTTCACTATAAATTCTCAACAAAGACTAACTCTTACAATTATTCTTTAAAATCATAAGAATTATTTAACGGCTTTTGAAATTATACAAGAGACGATTGACTAAATATATATTTTTGTTTCTACTATACCGCGAATAACAAAATAACACAGTTATCAAATATTGACACTTAAATTTTAAAAACATTAAAATTATTTTAAGTATTCTTATACAAATATTTAACACGTGTTTAAACATTTTTTCATCAAATTGCAGTTTACAAAAATCCATGTTTCCACAAAATCTTAACGTTACAGAAGGTGCTTTTCTTAAGTAATGATGCTTTTTTTCTAGGTTTTGTTTACGAGTATGGAGGAGAGAGGAAGACTTTCGAAAACGAATTTATAAAAAAATATTTGACATTTTTTGAAAAAATAATTTTATTTAGAATGATAAAGTAGTGTTTATCATTAATATATTTTTAATTTATAGAATACTTTAACAACCATAAAAAATATTTAGAAAATTTATGTAAACTCTTCAAAACTCTTTTTCAATAAAAATTGAATTCTTAAAATTATGAAATTTTTAATATTATGAATAAAATACAAACACTCCAAAATCCTCTCTACTAAAATCTTTCAATTCTTTCCACTCAATCCTTCATATTTTTTTTTTCTTTCAAAACCATGCACTTCCCTTCCCCCTCTTAACTCCCAAGGAGGCCCTAAAGATCTATACCGTTTAAAAGATAAATGTACTCAAGTACTTAACTATGCTTTTTCCATTTTTCTGCCTATATTCATTTCATAGGACATTTCTATGTTTAAATAGGTGAGAATAAAACTTGTAAAACATACTATGAAACAGAAATTGGTTATGTTCATTCAATACTTAAAAACCAATATCACAAAGACACAACAAACTCAGTCCAATTTTAGCCACATAGCCAGCATCATCCATCACAAGTTGATGACTTTTTCTTCTGTCTTTTACTCATCAAACAAAAAGTTGTTGCAACTTCTAGTATTATTAGTGCTTACAAGCTCTTTAATTTCATCAAATGGATTTTCTCCCCATAATCCATTTTCTTTCTCTGTCCACTGATTAACACTACCACCATTATAGAGATAATCAACATCATCATCATCATCATCATCATAATCATACTTTTCAACAAGCTCTTGATCTATTACAAGGTTGATCTGGTTTTTGCTATTGCTCTGAGAGGGACTGATGAACCTTTCTTGTGGTGAAGTAAAAGAATTTCCACTAAGAAGACTTGAAGATGCCGCTGAAGAGTAGGAAAAGGAACCTGTGATTGATAATGATGGAGATGATGTTGTTGAATTTTGAAGGATGGATAAAAGGGTAACTTGTTGAGATTTCATCTCCAATGATTGGTTCATGGACATATATTTTTTCTTGAGTTTTGTGTTCCAATAGTTCTTCACATCATTGTCAGTTCTTCCTTGTAGCTTAGATGCTATTATTGACCACCTGAACTTTGTGAAAAATTTGAAACATTGATTGTTTATTTTAAGATCTTAAAAAACCGCAACAAAATGGTATTGAAAAATGCTAATACATCGCATCGGGGATAAAGAACAAATTATTTTTGAGATAAAGAACAAATCATGATTAATTTCCACTGCCACCACTACAATAATGTTGCGACACTTATACCAATTAAAATCGTGACAGCTTTTACGTGACTGTTATTTAAAATTTTACCCTAATATTCAAGATCAAGATCTTAATTTGGAAAACATTAGAAGAAAGAAAGTACCTGCTTCCAATGCTAGAAAAGAGGGTGCAAATTATGTTATCTTCTGAGTCAGAAAAATCACCATGCTTAATATTTGGTCTAAGATAATTAAGCCATCTTAGTCTACAGCTTTTGCCACACCTTGTCAAACCTTAATGAAAAAAAAATCTAATAAAAAACAACAAGTAAATATTCATTCATATATATAAATTATCATTTGCATGCACTTACCAGCTTTTTTTGGCAAAGAAATCCAGTTTCCACCAGTTCCATTTTTCTCTATGTAGTCTTTTAGTTTTGCATCTTCTTCAGGAGACCATGGACCTTTCTTTACACTAGCTTTGTCACAGCAAGGAGCTCTTCCCATAGTTTTCTCTCTTCTTCGGTTCTTCCTTAATCTGCAGAGAGAGAGAGAGAGAGGTGTCATACAATAATGGAAGGTTTGGATAGATTTGTATTCAGAGATGAAACAGCAGAAGTCAAAGGAAACAGCCAAATAATTCATTACTTTATAGAAGTTTCCATTACTATATAGTACTACTTGGTCTGTTCATTATAATATTTATTATAAATGTCTTTTTCAATTTTTGTATTTATTATAAAATTATAAAAATAGATATTGAATTTAACATATGAATTTTGTGTTTAAATGTTTAAAAAATATATTTATAGTTATGGAAGTGTTCAACTTTTATTTCTCGTCTCTTGATACACTTAAAAGGGATAATGACCTTAAATATAAACAAAAATAATATATATGTTTGGTTAAATTTGACTAAATATGTGTTTTTTATTATGTTTAAATTTTTATTATGTTTAATGCAGAGCGTTTGTTTCACATTCAAGAATAACTTAAAAGAATAATTATATAGTAACATAAATATGAATGTTTGATTTTCAAATAGTTTTTTTTTTAAGAGAATTTTCTTGTCCACTTTCATATGTTAGATTTAAATTTCTGAAAACTCGAAAATATTTTTCGGATGTGCATATCTGAATGCACTATTCAACAATGTTTTAGATATGTATATCCGAAGTCACCATGCAAATATGTCAACAGATATTTAAGATATGCATATTTGAAACATTGTCTGTTTGTGTCATTTTTGTTTAAAACATCATCATTATCACTTTCTAAAAAACGGACAAATGAGCAAATATAAAATGATATAATTTGGACGAAAAATGAAACAGACATAACAATTAGATTAGATGTTCAGAAATAGGGTAACATATTATAATACATAAGTTATTCAGAAAGTGCGTAATATCAAAATATTACATCGGTAAAAAAACAAAATATAACATAAGATGTGACACGTTAAAGAACCATGTCACATATTTCTCTATGCAATGCCAACTCTCGGATGTTGGCATCATCTGATACTCTTGTGGCACCAAATGACTCTCATAATCCTGAAAGATATCATCGAGATCTCGGCGGACAACGGTGTCGGGAGCAACCTGAAACAAAGATCTGGGTATCATCTACACAAATCCAAATTTTCGCGTGCACCGCTTCGAAAGATATCATACCATTATGTTAGTCCCATATGCAAGCCACCCGAAGTATAATGAGATGGGGTCGAAGGGGACAATATCCCTGTGATCCTCGAATGTCATCCATTTGATGTCATCATGATAAGTACGATCAAGATACATCTGATAAGACAACACTTTATAATTCCCTCTGTGGAGGACATACTTTGCAGCCCTCGACATGTCGTCAGTATAAGTTGAATTAGGCTCGAAACCATGAATGCGATGGAAGTGAGAGATGATCCAGCTCTGAAACACAAATCAGAGAATATGTAAGTACAAATTATAAAAAACAAATTAAATGTAATAGTTGGAATGAAAGGTGACGTGAGTAGTTTGCAAGAGCCAGTGAGCTGCCTCGTCCTCCAGTTTAAAGCTTCATTCAACTTTTGGTATAGGTATACCAAAATGGAAGCCCCCTAGTTCCACTCATGAACTGTACTCAAATCCATAAAATACCGGAGGTATGTTACATCCACGTAGGTTACACTTTTGTCCACAAAGAGGGACGTGCTAACCAAGAACATAAAGTAACACTGCAAGGAAGAATCTTATGTGGGGGTGGTTTTGGGTTTGTAACTAAATGTGTTCTGATGCGTGAAACTGTTATGTTCGCACTGGTGAAAATAATTAAATGATTTAGAATATGCACATCCGAAGTATTAAATAATGGGGTTGATTCGGATATGCACATGCGAAGTCACCTTTTCTTGACAAAACAAAATGATTTCGGATATGCACATACGAACCCATATATTCTTGACAATTACGGTGAGTTCGGATATGCACATCTGAAGTCTGGGATTATTTTGAGTTTTTCGCCAAGGGCCTCCAAGAAAACATAGAGGTGAAGAAATAATTTCTCTTTCTTTAATGCACTTTAAAAAAAACTGAAATCCATTGATATTAATGTTAACAATTGGGCTTAAGGATTGATTCACATAGAGTTACTATTGAGGATGGCTTTTTGGGCTAAGGAGTGGGGCTCCTTATTCTTTTTTATCTCTACTAATGTGTTGGATCATGCTACTTTTAAAGTTTATTAGGGTTACAATCACTTTCCAGATCAAAACACCTAGATGGCTTCTATCATTCCCTTTTGTGTTGTACCTTCTCTCTCATGTGTGCTGAGATCTATCATTTTCTCCATAATCATGTCCACCATGTCTTGCAGTTAGTGAGTACATGCACTTGTACTTACTCTGCCCACCATGGTATCTACAGAAAAAAGGAAATACGTTTAGTAGGTGTTAGAGGAATATCAAAAGCGAAAATGAAAAAAATTTCTCTCTTCGCCAAAGAGTTATTTTCCCTCAAGATCATCAGCCACATATACTAACGCTTAGGTGTTAATGAGTAACCTTTCTTGAATGGAGGACCCTACATCTGAAGGACCTATACATTATTCAAAATCCAAGTGTTCCAAGAAGGTTATCAGATGCTCTTCAATTGAAACTTCTTCTAGGATTATAGATTTAGAAGGGACAACATGGTTGTAACATTCCCGATTGAAATGGCTCTTGACCTAGCATTTTTAGATCCTATCTTTCTATTTGATCGAATTTGAGACAAACAAGTCGGTTGGGGTCTTGTAGAATACTAAATGGGCCTTTAGAGTCTAAAGAGTTACCTGAAGGAAGCGAGCCTTAAAATTCTTCCAACTTTCCATATAAACCCCCAAACATTTTGGATTCTTGACACAATGAGATTAACCCATGTTTGTACAGGCGATCCTTCGAGGTGTGTGACATAGTAAAAAGATTTAAAAAGAGATCCAAAGACTGTTCTTTGTCCTTGTGTTTACCTCAATACAAATAGTCTTTAGCAAATGCCTAAGCTACCAAGTATAATTGGGAAGAGGAAATTCTAAGCGCCTCAACTCTAATTCCTTAAACCCATTTAAGGGAAATTGAGTTTCAACTGATAAAATATGCATTCATAGAAAACCTATTATAATAGTTGTAGATCCTCTTGGTAGTGTTAACATGTGAAACTAACCAGCCAAAGGATGAACCTTCTTTTATGTGAGCTTCCTCCACTCTATATGCACTATTAAAATAAGAGATAATCCCCACCAATTCAGAGTCCACCCAATGGTACACACTGGCATCCACTAGATCCACTAAATATGCACACCCATGGAGAACCATGTCCTATTTATTTTCTTGAAAAATATAATTCCAATTAGAAACTGCACAATGGCTCCGAAAGTTAAGGCCATCCCTAGTTTCTACGTCACTAGGATTCCGACCATGCACCTTCCTAAAAGTGTTACTGAAATAGGGAGTACTTAGCTCATTTTGAGCCATTATAATAACATTCAGATCTGTGTGGGACCTTATAGAGGAAGAAAAATGGATGGCCACATTCGGATCTGTGTGGGACCTTTAGAAAATCTATCAGTACTCTTCTGAGTAAAAGAACTAAGTGCTTCATCCCCACTCTCTATAGAACCCTCATCATGCCCTGAACTATCGCTAAGTATGAAATATTTGGTTTGAGTTGATTAACCTCTAAAGGACTAGCATTTGGAACGTGTGGGTTTTCATATAATTCAGATGACAAAGAATCTCCATCATCAGGTTTATTCATCATGGTCTCATACATATTTTCTATGTTTTTCATAAAAACAAATTATAAAAATGCAAGAAAAGGGGATAAAAATGGTACCAAAGTAAAAATAAAAAGTTGGGGAACAGTCAAAAGCAAATGAAACATGGAAAATATAATGAACTAGAAACACATAACCCAAATAAAAAAGAGAAAATGGAAAAACTAGAAATCGCCATATTATAGAGAAGAAAGAAATGGATGTTATACGACAACGCCTTATCTAGAGAGGAGTGAATAGATAGCCAAGACAAAAAATCCAAATACAAATTTTGGTTTTAAAAGTAATTAGAAAAAAGTGCAAGAAGAAAGTTTTCTAAAGTGTCGTCTATACGAACCAAGCTAGTGGATGTCAGATATGTAAATATAAAACAAATTATTTATATACTTCAATCAAGTAACAAGATATTAATCGTTTATAGCAAGTTACTAGTAATACTATTTCCAACGGTAACAATCAAAAGAACAAACAAAAAAATTTGTCGAACACTTAGTGTGCGATCGAACTTTCAGAATTTTCCTTTGAGTTGTGTTAATGCAAAAAGCACTTATAATCAAAATTGATTATAAGAAAATCAACACCTAATTCAAAACAAAAATAATCATGGAAAAATTCCTATGAGTCGATCAATTACTCAATGCTATTAGATAAATTGATTGATGAAAATTAAAGAAAGTAAAGCGATAAGAAAAAGATACACGAGGATTTGTCTACACAGTTCTCCATTTTCATCCTCGTGTGTGGGTACGTCTACGCCCAAATCCAATTTGGAATTAGGACAATTCTTACTATGCAAAAAGTCGTAAGAGAAACTCTACAAACCCTAATCATTTTTTGTTGATTCAACTTATTCTCTTATTTTGATCTTGAGAAAGACTAAGACGCAATAGATCCCAATTGACTTATCCATATTGTTACTCCTTTGCGCTATTTATCTACAAGGATTTCATGCACACTCAATTATACCTATTGCACACAAGACTTCAATTTGATTCACCGTTATCTCACTACTTCCTTTACGTTCTTTATCTCCAAAAGCTTTCACTAGGTGACAATCCTCTCTTGAATGTCTTGCACGAAAACCCCCTAAATCAATCAATGATCTTGGAGGACAAACCAACGGTTTTTCCAAATAAGCCCCATGTAAATCTCAAACCAATATTATCGGCAACACAAAAACCTAATTGGACGTTATCAAACCTCGCCTAGATGGAACC